TATTCCTGGACTGGGTTAGTCCCTGTTTTAGTCTTGGTGTTAGTTCTGGTTTAGAGGTGCACAGGAGGAAGCGCGGTTTACGCAGCATACGTGAGAAAACGTACGCGGCGTACGGGAGGACAGCGGTGTCTGCGCAGTAACTACGGAAGGAAAGGTGGTCCGCGCGTTCTCAGGTTAATGACGATGATGAAGGTGTGTGTTTGTGTTTGTGCGTGTTTATGTGTGTGTCCTCTCATGTGGCAGGTCACTATAGGACAGTAGTGCAGACATCATGAGCATATGCAGGTTGTTTTTACCAGTGACATTTAAGTTGTAGGCGATTTTATATTTGTTATTTTCTTTATATTTCACGTCGGGAGAATAATTTCCAAGACACTAATGCGTTTTTACCTGTGCACTGCTGGCTCTGTTCTACTGGCTCTTCGACCTCCTCCATTGTGCGACTGACGCCGCCAGCGTTAACATAATGTTTATATCGCTCTTACTGCGCGCGTTTTGTGTGGGTTTCTGGCAATGAGTGGAATTACGTAAATAAAAAAATGTATAAATGTGTTTTTTTTGTGTGTGTGTTGTCCCAACAACACATAAAAACTGATTTTATGATAAAGCAACTTGCATACAGAAACAGTAAAGTTAGAGATTAAAAATGAGATTAATGCGATTAAAAAACATAACGCGCTAAATATGACTGTAATTAATTAATCGCAATTAACGCGATAATTTGACACCCCTAAAATAAACTACCGCTATTAGCCTTTAACCGTAAATGCTGCGCGACGTGGTGATTAAATATATGCGCAAATGTCATAATTCACACGTCTATTCACAGCTCATTTACATATCAATGCAGGTCCAGTAACAAATATACGGCCAATATATTCACTTTAGAATAGACCAATAGAAAACAGCCTGTTTATGTGTGAGAGCCACAGCAGCTAATCAATAACGACCAAAACTAGCTTCAAAGTCAACATATTTCCAACACTCACTGCTCACACAGACTCCTCCTCACATCACATGTCTGCACTAATAAATGTCCTTTTAATCCAGACTCAAACTGATTGTCCGTAAAAAGAATATAATCTCAGTGTTTGGATCTGTGTCTGTGGGTGTAAACAAAAACACGTGAGTGACTCGTGGAGCTGATTGGGTCTCCAAACCACAAGAATCGTTCAGTTAGTGGTACAAACACCAAATTTCTCATATATTTAGTTATCATCATGCTCTTTTAGAAAAACCCATAAACCACCTGAAATATTCAACATGGTGGCCATTTTTCAAGATGGCCGACCAAACAACTGATTTCACATAAAAGACAAAAGTCATCATGTTCTTAATAAAAATTAATGCAATAAATCAAAAATTTGCAAATATACAGTATACATATACAGTAATGCAATGTCAGGTATTCAGCAAATTTGACACCAAAATATATTTAATTTTGCACAAAATTCATTACAAATTTCTCACAAAACCAAAAGTATCCCAATAAACATTTGGGAAGCAGAAATAAAAACATGAGCAAAATTAAAATAAAATGCAACATATTGACATAGGTTAATTTCAGAAATGGAGCCATTAAAATAGAACCATTTATAGTGCTGTATGTGCTTAAGAACTATTGAAAAAAGTTTGCCATCATTAAGATTTTTGGCACATTCATTCAGCCTCATTTAACTGTATTGTTGATGCTTGTCTTAGTTCAGAAGCTGGTTCTGTGTTATCACATAAAAAAACATTGCTGGGGCTTCTGCACAGTTCTTCTAATTTTTGAATGTCCTTCGTCTGAGTATCACAAGCTGCTCTTTTGTTTGCCCGTTCAAGTTTACTGTTACTGAACAGTAATCTGCAGCTTTGGTGATTTAATTTTTTATTAGTGTTTCTTCAATGCCACGACCATCATTCAGTCTGGTACATCCTGTCAATTCAGGTACGGCTATCTAACTTTAATACTACAACTAATATAAGTATAACTAATACTAAAACTACTAGCTGGTGTATTTATAGGGCTAATTAGATAGCATTTGGGACGCCACATCATGCTACATTAACTATATTAAATATTAGAATGTTAGTAACACTACTTAGCCGACACTGAACCCGTGCTGAGTTTCACAGCGGCGGAGTCACCAGTATGCCCTGGTTGTGCTACGACCCACCCATTTCTAGAATAAACACATATATATTCTAACAAAAACATATTTTAGCACATTGGTACTACATATATTTAATATTTCTTCAGGCAGGTTTCAATAAGATTTGTCCACGAAATTTCTTTCTACTGTGTGTTATTATTTAATGACATTTATTTGTAGATATTTTAAATACAATGAAAGGTGATAAATAACCATCAAAAATGATTTGATGAATAATTTCATTCAAAATTGAAATAATTAAATAACAAACCTATGCTTCGACATTTATACATATATAGTTATATATAGTTATTATACATATATACTATGGCCATCTTGAAAAATGGACGCCATCTTGGATATTTTTGGTTGCTAACGGACTTTTCATAAAGACCATGTTATTTTCTATCTCCACTCCAAATTTGATGCTTGTACCACAAACTGAACGATTATTTCAACTACCAGCTCCACTAGACGTGACTCTGGGGGTGTGTTCAGGGACAGTACGGACACACACAGACAAATGACTCCTTTGATAAATACTGATACGGAGCCACATATTTGGACATTTATCTGTCTGTAAATTGGATTAAATGAACATAATGTAGAGAGTCTTAAGATTTTTAATGATGTATCACATGCCCACGTGAAATATCAGCCCCTATCAGCAAGCGTATCTGCCGATAGCCGATATGTCTCCATGTACCCATATCGGCCGACCGATATATCAGTCGGGCTCTACTTCTCAGTCCCATTTGTGTCTCAGTCAAAGGTGCTGCATAACAGAAGGACTAGTTGGATAGGGTCAGCAGATTCTGTATCATGCCAGTTTGAGGAGACGAAGAGCAAAAGTGTCCCTCCTCTGTCGTGCAACCTGGTCATCACGGCAGTGTCCAGGGGGAACCAGGTGAACACAACAGGAAAGGCCCTCATTCTTACTCCACTCTGGTGTTTCACTTGGTGATGAAACAGTGAATTCCCTCAAAGTGTTTCCTCTCGAAGGTCTTCTGCCACCTCTGCTGCCCTATATGGTGTGAAAAGCCTGTAGCATCTCAAATGTCCATAGATAGCTCCTTAGCTACTTCCTCCATGCAAACTTTATACAGTGAGGAAAATAAGTATTTGAACACCCTGCTATTTTGCAAGTTCTCCCACTTAGAAATCATGGAGGGGTCTACATTTTCATTGTAGGTGCATGTCCACTGTGAGAGACATAATCTAAAAAGAAAAATCCAGAAATCACAATGTATGATTTTTTAAACAATTTATTTGTGTGATACAGCTGCAAATAAGTATTTGAACACCTGTCTATCAGCTAGAATTCTGACCCTCAAAGACCTGTTAGTCCGCCGTAAAAAGTCCATCTTCACTCCATTTATTATCCTAAATCAGATGCAACTGTTTGAGGTTGTTAGCTGCATAAAGACACCTGTCCACCCCATACAATCAGTAAGACTCCAACTACTAACATGGCCAAGACCAAAGAGCTGTCCAAAGACACCAGAGACAAAATTGTACACCTCCACAAGGCTGGAAAGGGCTACGGGGAAATTGCCAAGAAGCTTGGTGAAAAAAGGTCCACTGTTGGAGCAATCATTAGAAAATGGAAGACATGACTGTCAATCTCCCTCGGACTGGGACTCCACGCAAGATCTCACCTCGTGGGGTCTCAATGATCCTAAGAAAGGTGAGGAATCAGCCCAGAACTACACGGGAGGAGCTGGTCGATGACCTGAAAAGAGCTGGGACCACCCTTTCCAAGGTTACTGTTAGTAATACACTAAGATGTCATGGTTTGAAATCATGCATGGCACGGAAGGTTCCCCTGCTTAAACCAGCACATGTCTGTCTTAAGTTTGCCAATGACCATTTGGATGATCCAGAGGAGTCATGGGAGAAGGTCATGTGGTCAGATGAGACCAAAATAGAACTTTTTAGTCATAATTCCACTAACCGTGTTTGGAGGAAGAAGAATGATGAGTACCATCCCAAGAACACCATCCCTACTGTGAAGCGTGGGGGTGGTAGCATCATGATTTGGGGATGTTTTTCTGCACATGGGACAGGGCGACTGTACTGTATTAAGGAGAGGATGACCGGGGCCATGTATTGCGAGATTTTGGGGAACAACCTCCTTCCCTCAGTTAGAACATTGAAGATGGGTCGAGGCTGGGTCTTCCAACATGACAATGACCCAAAGCACACAGCCAGGAGAACCAAGGAGTGGCTCTGTAAGAAGCACATCAAGGTTCTGGCATGGCCTAGACAGTGTCCAGACCTAAACCCAATAGAAAATCTTTGGAGGGAGCTCAAACTCCGTGTTTCTCAGCAACAGCCCAGAAACCTGACTGATCTAGAGAAGATCTATGTGGAGGAGTGGGCCAAAATCCCTCCTGCAGTGTGTGCAAACCTGGTGAAAATCTACACGAAACGTTTGACCTCTGTAATTGCAAACAAAGGCTACTGTACCAAATATTAATATTGATTTTCTCAGGTGTTCAATACTTATTTGCAGCTGTATCATACAAATAAATAGTTAAAAATTCATACATTGTGATTTCTGGATTGTTTTTTTTTTTTTTTCAGATTATGTCTCTCACGGTTGACATACACCTACGATGAAAATTTCAGACCCCTCCATGATTTCTACGCGGGAGAACTTGCAAAATAGCAGGGTGTTCAAATAATTATTTTTTCTCACTGTACAGAAAAGCCTGTGCAGCCCAAGAGTTGAACCTTGAACTTTCTAGCTGTGAGGCCACCTTTAAAGGAGAGCAGGGACTGTCTTAACTACACACAATGGTTATTGTATTTGGTAAAGGTTTTTTTTTTTTTTTTTACATTTTATCTGATTCTTTTTCACAGGTTGAAGAGATGGCTGTTGATGACTGTAAACCAGAGAGTGATCTCGACAGGTTGCCAGGACATCACCCACTTATTAAGGAAGGCATAAGCGATGGAGGTCTGAATAAGATCTTTTTACGTCATACAACTTCATCATAATCTTTATGATACAGATAAAACTGACTTTAATGGTGCTGACAGCCGATATAACAGCTGATATATTTAGTGATGTAAAAAAATGTACAGTTGATACAAAACTTAGGTCTGGCTCTGTTGAAGTTTGAATTGGGTGTATTTAGGCAACATTTGCCGTTATTTTACATCAGTCATATCTGAAGAAAATAGGTAGACCTAATGGCATTTTAACATGACATTCTAGCCAGTAAACAAAGTAAGTAAACTACCCTTCATCTTTATGTTCCCTCATTCCCACATTTCCACAAGTTTTTTTTTTCCTCCAAAATTAGGGCCTATGTTCCCACATTTCCTTTATCATCAATTTGCAACAGATTTTATCCCAATTTCTCCCAATTTGGTAATCACACCCAACCTATTATCCAGCAGCAGTTGTAATGTAGAGGTCATGGGACAAAGGACCCTAGATTGAAATGACTCTGAATCATCCCGTTAAGTTATAAAATAAAAATAAAAATGGCTTGACTTAGAGTTTCATTCCAATCTTAGAACTAAGAAAAATCTTGGAAATGAGGGAACATAGGGAACATGTGCGCACAAAAAATGTGCGTACCATGGTAGTGAATTATAGGCATAAAGAACCATTCACACTTCTATTCACAGCTCTACATATTGATGCAGGGCTAGTAACATGTATACAGCCTCTATAGTCACTTTACAGCAGTGGTGAGCCGTCAGGGCCTGCAAGGCCTTCTCTGCTGCCCTAAAAAAATAGCTGAATCACAGACTGATATTAATTTTATTATTAAATAATTACATATGGTCTGTCCTCTTCCTTTCAGAGCTTTTCTGATGGTTTTGCTGCTTCTACACGTATTTTCATATTAAAGCATTTGACCAATCACATTTCAGCCGTCACTTGTAGCTAGGCAGAGTCAAAGTCAAAGAGTGTGCCTGAGGCCTTCACAATACTTTCTGCAGGCCCTTGAACACAAAATAAATGTGGATGAAACTGTTGCTTCAACCAATCAGATTTTGAGTTGGTGTTGCCAGGGCCTTGTAGCAGGCGTATGGCAACATCACCAGATTCAGACCCGTTGATTGGACAGTCAGAGAGAGTACCAGCCAAAGCTAGCAAACTGCACCTATAGCAGAACCAGGACTAAACCAGGTCTAAACCAGATCTAAATCAGGACTAAACCAGGACTAATCTTGGACTTGAGAGAGCGAGAGAGAGAAGACCCCGAGCCTGCGGAGCAGGGTGTCTGCAAAGCGCGATTGGGCGACAGCTGCACTGAGCCCCGTGCGGCCCCGTGTGGCACGGTCCTTTCGTCTGCGGTCACCCGACAGACTACATGGGCGCACCCTCGGGCCTGTCCCCACAAACAGTCGTGGTTTAGTTCTGGTTTAAGCCTGGTTTAGCTCCCCAGTGCACCTCACTTCTTCTCTTTGCACCGCGCATCCCCGTCTCCTCACTTCTCCATGCACGGAATCTCCTCAACTCTTTATACTGTGTTTCTGTATAATATGGCTTTTATAACCATAAAATAGTTATTGAGGAGTGGATTGTTTCAGATGGAGCACTACTGAAGGCCTTGGTGTGAAATGCACGGTCCACCACTGTTTTACAGTAGGCCTACGTATGTAAGAGAAAACAGGTTGTTTATGTGTGGCAGCTACAGCAGCTAATATCTAACCAATGAGAAAGAAACAAATGTAGCTTTAAAACCAACACATTTTCAACAATCACCACTCATACAAGCACCTCTCAGATCACAAGTCTTCACAAATAAATATCCCCTTAATCCTGACTCAAAATGATCATTGGTAAAAAGAATGTAATCCAACATTTTGACAGCAGCTGCGTGTGTCCTCTGTTTATGGCAACAGTCCCCTCTGCTCCGCATTTGCACATTACTTTTGTTGCTGGCCTAAACTGCGTGAGGTTAACATGTTTTTATAGTCTGTGTCTTAGATCAGGCACAAGAGTAGTTAAAGCCAGTGTCTTAGTGCTGTCTCAGAGCAGCTGTTGACAGCTCACTGCCTGTGCATACGGGGTCAGTTCAGCTTCATGCACATTGACAAATTACTCCTGATAAATATTGATTTGGCTCCATATATTAGGTCTGTCTGTAAATTGGATTAAGTAAGCTCAATATTGACAGTCTGAGCTTTACAACAATGTATAATTTGCTCCTGTGGACTATCAGCCCATATCGACTAGATTTATTTTTTAGTTATTTCTCAAATAAATGGAAAATTAGTCTTAGTCTGCGTAATTGTGCATCCCTTGCTATTTTTATTTGAAAGGTTTATTTCACTCAAAATGTATAAATACAATTGTAATATACACCATGGAAATGCATGGACTTGATGTGGCTCTGTGCTCTGGACCTGACAGGAGCTGTTTCCATGGGAAAGTAGTGGGGTGATTGCACTTTTTTGGGGGGTTTGACTGCAACTACTATATTTTTAGTTTACTTGACTGAGTTGACTTGATATTTTACACTTTTGTAGCTAAGCCCCTAAAGTAAGCATTTATTATGTCCAAAAAGTTGTTTGTACATGTATACATTTATATATAAATGTTTATACATTTATACATATTATACATACATTTTATTACTATGCCCGTGTTGTCCTGCAGAGGTCCCAGAGGAAATTATCCCAGTGAATGAGGGTGGTCTGGAGGGTGAAAGTTGGGCTAAACCTTTGGCCCACCTGTGGCAGAGCCGATCACCCAACCCAAAGAAAGAGAGGGAGTACAATCTGCGCATGGGAATGAAACCTCCATACTGCTGCATCTGCACTCTTTTCCACACTTACCAGCAGGTACAGAGCTCATTTGGTCACTTAATCACAATCATATTACAAGCTAGAGAGCTACCAATATGGTTTTGGACTTTTTTTTTTTTTCTTTCAGAAGGTGAAACACTATGTCCATAGCATTATATATCGTAACACATAATTTTATAGTGTGATTTTTGTCATGAAGTGCAGCTTTTTACAATGTAATTTTTAAAAATATATTTGCTGGCATAATAAATAGTGGTGCATGATCTTTTTAAGTGTTTAATGTGGCAGAAGATGCAGTGTAAAATGACTAGTAAAAAAATAGCACTGTGTAATTGTGATTTGTGCTTGTAAAACGACTTGATAAAAGCAAAAAGTTCTGCAGACTTCTGTGTTAGAAAACTGAGGTGCCATATGAGAGCTGATGTTGCAGTAAATGACTACGCAATGCTGCCTAATCCTTTGTGTATCACTGATTAAGAAAATAAAATTGGAGAATGAATAAGGAGAGAGCAGTGCATATATAATATAATGGTGGTGGTGAAAACTGGAGTTGTTTAGCAATACAGCATCTTGAAAATAAGATTATAGATTGCTCAAACATGCAAGAGTCACTCCAAATACAACTTAAAGATTGTAAATTAGAAGGGTACACAAGTATAACATGGTTAAAAGCTCTTAAAAGTAGATTTTGCATAATGGTTCTACTTTTAAAAAAAAACATTGGCTGCTTGTTGCAGATGGAGGTTACCAGTAGTGCAAACAATCCCATCATTCTTCCCGGGAATAAGATGAGGACCAAGCCCCTGATCCCAGAGTCCTGCTTTAGCATCAACACAGAGGAAGATTCAGAGGATGAGCGGAGGCTGAGCACAGCTTATGTGGAGGACGATGGGACCAGCTTGCTGATCAGCTGTTCTGAGTGCTGCGTGCGCATCCACGCCAGTCAGTCACAGTCTCTCTGCTCATTTGTTTAAATTCTCTTTTGTTTGGAGTTGATACTGTAAAATTATGTCTAAATTATGTCTAACACTACATTTTCTGCATACAGGCTGTTACGGGGTTGATCCTGCAAGTGTGGATAGTGACTGGAAGTGTGCACGCTGTAAAGCTAATGCCTTGACAGAGGTTAGTAAAAATGTGTGAAAAAGTCTGTGAAAGAATGCATGTGTTTTATATTATTATTAATATGTTATTAATATATTATTATGTTTTAACACATACTAGTTCATGCCTTTTAGCACAGCAGTGGCACATTTGTGTCAGAAACGACAGGATAATGCTAAATAATTAGCACAATAATGCTACAGAAACAAGAATCAAATACAACAGGCTAACAGTCCAGAAACATGCACAAGAGGTTAACACTCCAAAAACCACATGATAATGCTCCGGAAACAAGAGGCATTGCTCTTGTTCTATAGGAACACCTAAGTCTCTTTCCCAGGCAGCCCTAAGGCCGTGGAGATTAGGAGCACTCGCATTCCTAATTATTTTGTAAAAGGCTGCTGGAGTGCCTTTTTTAAAACATGGCATTTTGAATCATTTTGGAAAACACGTTATATTATTTGCAGTGGATTTCAAAGCAAAATAGACTGTGTCTGTGCTGCAGGTATTTATAAAAGTCTTGATTTGGCAGCTTGTAATGCTCTTTCAAATGCTCAAAATCTATCATGCAACCGTTCTGGTAGATATGTCCAAGATGGAGAATTTCAACATTCTGCCCACTTACTGTTGTCTGCATACACTGGTGTGTGTGTGTGAATGGGTGAGTGGTTTGTAAAGCACTTTGAGTTCCTTGAAGATGGAAAAGTGCTATATAAAAATGTGACCATTTACCATTTACTAAAGCTGTCAACTGATAATGTGATAATCTACAATGTAAAGAATCAAAAAATGGAAGGCTGTCCAAACCTTTGACTGGTAATGCATATTATATTTATTTATTATTATATATATATTTTATTTTATTTTATATTTAAAATTTTTCAGATGTTGCTTTGTATTCAAATTATGTCATGTTGAGTAATATGTGCTTTATTTAATGTCACTAACTAATTCCCTGTTAGAGTTGCTGCCTTTGCTCATTGAGGGGAGGAGCCTTGCAGAAAGCCAACAACAACAAGTAAGGCTTTTATGAACTCCACTAAAATCTGAGAGAATCTGAAAGAAAACCTGAGCCACCTGTGTATGTGCTGCAGGTGGGTACATGTCTTGTGTGCTGTCGCTGTCCTAGAAGCTCGCTTTGTCAACATCACAGAACGAAGTCCTGTGGATCTGAGTGGAATCCCCCTGCAGAGGTTTAAACTGGTGAGCTCAAAATGTATTTTTTTTTTTTTTTTTCAAATTAACTCTGTGCCATAAAGAATGATATTTTATTTTATATTATATCTGTATTTACTCAAGTTAGACTTTAATCTTAGGTTTGCTTTTGTACTATTAAAAAAGTCCCACTAAAATAACATGACAGGGTCATTCCATGCCAAACGTCCAAATGCCCACACTCGACCATCTCAGATTTGACTGAAAAAATTCTAGGAGGTTCACACACTTTCCAATAAGAAAAGTCCCAAATTTTAGCTCCCAACTTCTTATAGTTTTGTCATTAAAATATTTTGTCATCTCCCCCCCTGACCTGTTTTGAGCAGAGTTGTCCAAGGAGACACTTTCAGATTGCTGTATCTAAAACACTATTTAAGATTGGTCCTTCAAGGGTTAAAATTTGGCAAATGTATTTGTACAATCTGGACTTTTACACATGTGCTTTTGATTTATCACACATTTCTAGGGGCTTGAATTTGCTAAAAAATTCTACTTTTCAAATATGAGGGCATCTTTGAAGGATTGTGGAAAGTGCAATTTCAAAGACAGAGGTTTGATATTAAACATTCACCTTCCCACACATGCTGTGTACTTTGTATTTTTAAACTGACCTACTGTGACGAAAGCTCTACAAGATATTAAGTGTTAAAAATGGAAAAAAATAATTTGGTGCCATCTTTACCATGTTATACCAAAAAAAAATGACAGCACCCACCAACATAAAATGGACTGTTATAGAAAGACTAGATGTCTGTTTTTAACATATCCAAAATTTGTGATGGTGTTCTGCCTTATTTTTGCAAAATGAGTCTGAAAATGTGGTGTCTGCAAACATACAGAGCATTCATGGACTATGAAGACACTTTCAGAAGCTAAGAAAACTCTGAATATTTTGTGCACAGCTTAAACTCAACAAAATGCTTGATTTGATTACTCAACTACTGTAAATTATCTCACTCAAACTGTTGTAACACTCCTGAATTGTATATAGGTGTCCTGTTGGAGTGATAGAAACATCAACATCTATTTTAGAAATGATGTGTTATAAAGGTATCCAGCACTCGTCTACAGAAGCCCTGAGCTGCAAGTGTTAAAAAAAAAAAAAAATATATATATATATATATATATATATATATATATATATATATATATATATATTTTTTTAGGCCCGAGCGCAAGAGGCTGGTGAAAGGCCTATTAGTATCGCAAAGCGATGCTCCTAGTGGCCCGAAAGTGAAATGGTGTGACATGACTTGCCCGTAGTGACCAGGGACCTTCGCCATGATGTAGCAATGCACAAGAGGTTTCCGAAAATGTATAGTTTGTCGGCCAAAAAAAAGAGGAACATTGTTCTCTTATCAGAATATTATTCTTTCTTTCTTATTATTATTTTTCTTTTAACAAACTCACCCATTTTTCACCCACTGAACCATGACGAAAAGTCCTGAAATTTTGCCATCTGGTAAAACTCGCGCTTCTATTCTCTAACTTTTGGCTATTTCCATTTTTCAAACATAAATAAAATGGCTCATCAGAGCCCCCAAACAACTCAAAAATGCATTAGGGAATAGGAATGAGGAAAATTTGCACGTACAATCATCAAATTTGACACAGAAGTCGATCATGTCAAGACAATGAAAAGATATTTTTACACCAACACCGTGCGCTCCACCAGGGGGCAGCAATATTGGATTAAAGTTTGCGAAGCTTTTACGAACTCCTCCGAGGACGAACGAGCCCCAACCCAAACGAGCTCAGATTTGGTCCACATTATCTCAAGAGGTGGAACATCAAAAGTTATCCAAATTTTTCACACACGTCTTACAGTCTCTGAGCAGTGAAGCAACAAAAAATGCACACAATTTTGGAGATTTACAAATTGCTCCCATTTGCTTAAACAAACTCCGATTTCAATGTTGAAACAGTTGTTAAACTCTCTGCCCTGAAGCTACTTAATGTGAAAAATGTTAATTTGGCACATCAGCACCCCCTATAGATTGAAACAAAATGTAACATGGGAAAAAACATTTGTTCACAAAAAGTTGTTGAAAAATTTCTGAAATTTTGCACAAAATTCCATTTTGGCATCCTGATCCAAAAGTCAGTGACACCCATGTCATATTTTTATGGCGTTGCCATAGCGATGACATAAGCTCTCCATGTTATTCCACTGGTAAAATTGACACATTTTGGCACATACTTTGGCCGATTTCACTCAAATTTTTAATCGTGGGTTCACACCCTGACCCTGAACAGATTGATGTAGGAAAAGTGGGTGCAATAGCGCCCCCTAGAAAATTTGTATGGAAAAATGTATTTGTCATAGACATACAAAATTTGGTACAAACATTTGTGACATGGTCTCGATTAAAAAACTCAATGACGCAATGACGCCCACACCCCATGTACATTGTGTTGCCATGGCAACAAGCAAAAATTCTGTCCTTGCCAATGGGACATCCTTACACAAACTTTTACATAGTTAAACCAAATTTGGTAGCCAGATGCATCATGGCAATCGGAACAAAATTGTATTTTGTGATCATGCCTCTTTACAAACCGGAAGCCCGCCATCTTGGATTTTTATAGATTTTTTATTATTATTAAATTATTATTATTATTATTATTATTTATTAAATGTTGAAAAATTAATGGGTTAGGTTAAGAGGTAGGGTTAGGGTTGGGTCTATGGTTAGTATTATGACTAGGGTTAGGTTTAAGCTTAGGGTTATTAGTGCGAGTGCAGGTCGTGGTGTTCTGAAAAGTGTGCCGTTTGGGGGCGCAGGCGCGCGAGGGCCGGTCATCGCCGCTTGTAGCTATATTTTTCTGAATTTATTATTTTCTTTGGGAGATATTATTGTGGAGATAATAAGTAATTTTTTTTTAGATATCTTGTTATTTCGCAATATCTATATAAAAAAATGAAGAAAAAATTATTATTATTTTTTTTTTTTTACACTTGTGGCTCAGGGTTTCCGTACTAGTCTTTTCTTCTGGGCCAGAAGAAACTTTTTGCTGGGTTGTGTGGATGTATGAATTGTGTCTGAACATCTTGCTGGGTTTCAGATGTCTATGTGATGTTTCCCACCCATCAGTGATGGTTGTACACACATGTTACATATTGGCCAGGTATCATGTCACTGATTTGGAAGCCCTGTGAAGATCGTAACAGACACGTTTCTATTTCTATATCTAAAGACTACATATAAGGTATACTTCAAATATAGTTTATTAAGAATGAAATGAAACATTTTGTTGAGTTTAAGCTGTGTGTCAAATATTCAGAGCTTCTGAAAATGCCTTCATAGTGCATGAATGCTCTGCGTGTATGTGGACACCACATTTTCAAAAATTCATTTTGCAAAAATAAGGCAGAACACCATCACAAGTTTTGGATATGTTAAAAATAGACATCTAGGTTTTCTATAACAGACCATTTTATGTTGGTGGGTGCTGCCCTTTTTTTGGGATAACATGGTACAGATGGCACCAAATAAATTGTTTCCATTTTTAACACCATGTCTTCTAGAGGGTCCTCGTATTTGAAGAGTAGACAGTTATTGTTGGTGTAGTGACATTTTCCATTATTTATCAAATCAATCTTTCTGTCCTGGTACGGCTCTAGTGCTGAATGCAGGTCGGCAGGCACTGTTTGTCAGTAGGAGGAGCTGCTCCCTATGCGGCCGCCTCTCGTACTTTAATTATATTGTGTAATATTAGAGCTTTATGCACGCAGCTCTGTTGGCACAGAGAGGGGCCAACAGAGGGGGCTGCATATGCCTGACCTCCCTGCAGGTGAGAGCGCAGTGCCAGGTTAACAAGTGCGTAAATGCATCTTTAAGTGCTCTCACGAGGAGAAGGGTCTCTGCAGCCACCTCTTTTTAAACTTTTTTTTAGAGTTTATAAGGGACCCACGCATCTCTGGGTCCCTGTGTAAGCTGCTCTGTCCTCCATGACCAGGTAAAATTCCAGTCCTTTAGCCCTTATTCATGAAAATATCCAAATTCCTAAATCATTGATCCTTTTAGTGCTGCTGTCTGACTGCGCTTCACTCTTGCAACATGCTGAGCTTCACTGCGCATTCTCATGTGCCCTAGTCTTTGGCGACAGGTAATGAAAGTCTGCTGCTCCTGCCCATTCACAAAAATGTACAAATTGTCACACAATCCAGTTTTTCGTAGTTTCTCTGCTTGGTCATATCATTGCGCCCTGAGCCAAGTGCACGTCGCCGAGTGCCTCCATCTGCAGTGACAGGTAACACCCCGTAATCTCTTCATTCATAAAAGTTCCAAATTCTTATGCATCTGTCCCTTTTAGCCACACTGCTCAGCTGCACTTGCAGTACCCCAGGACCTTTACGCACAGTGATGCGCCTTCAACAACTGGATAAGATAAAAGCATTCTAAATATAACTCTGGTGCAGACTTAGCTCAAGGCACAAGGCGCAATGATACGGCCAAGCAGAGAAACTATGAAAAACTGGATTGTGTGACAATTTGGACATTTTTGTGAATGGACAAGAGCAGTAGACATTCATTACCTGTCACCAAAGACTAGGGCGCACGAGAATGCGCTGTGAAGCTCAGCGTGTTGCGAGAATGAAGCGGTGCCGGGTCTGCAGTCAAATAGAGGCACTAAAAGGATCAATGATTTAGGAATTTGGATATTTTCATGAATAAGGGCTAAAGGATTGGAATTATACCTGGCCATGGAGGACAGAGTGGCTTACTGTCTGTTGGAGTGATGGTATGTCAGAATAAGGGTTGCTGCCTCGCATGAAGTAAGTCATATTAAGACACTCGAATAAATTAATATATAAGGCACGCTGGATTATAAGGCGCGCAGTTGTTTTTGGATGAAATTAAAGGCTTTTAAGATCACCCTAAAGTGCGGAAAATACGGTACTTATCATGCTCTGTTTGCAAATGTGTCATCCAGGTAACCTCTGAACATTTCTTTATAGACATACACGCAGTCTTCTACCAGCGTGATGTCTCTGCAAAGTAACAGTCATCTATTATTATAATTAGTTGGTCGAAAAATGTTGATCGACTAAGACACCATCGACCAGAAACTAAAGATCTATAGCCCCAGTTAGATGCTTATATTCATTATTCAAATGAATTCAGAAAACAACCATTGGGTCAGGCCGTATGAAATCAGATGTTTTCAAGTAATCTCCCCTATGAGCAATCTCAGATTTTGCTGAAAAAAATCTAAAAATTTCTAAAATCACCAAAATGAAAGAATGTCAAATTTAGATCAATCCCTTGAGTCGTTCCTGAGTTATGGCCCGTTGAAATTTTGGGGCCGTGCTCACTTTTTTGGTAGCCTTAATTTATAAGCATGTTTGAGAAAATATAGAGAAAATAGAGCTAGGAAGCAGAAAATTTGTATTATTGTAGATTCTTGGTCATAGATTCTGAATCTTGTCAAATATTGTGTGTCTTTATTAAGGGGCTGTGGGCCCCCAAAATCTCACATTTGGTAAAATTTTTTTGTTAATTTTTGAGGAGATCAAGATCAAGATCTATTTACTCCAAGCAGATATTTACAAACTAACTGCTGAACCTGAATATTTGAGAGAATGACCATTTCTGACACCAATCTCACACTTTTCTGAGCTTTCATGTGGATGGTGTAGAGTTCCAAATATGGTCACAGACCACATGTGATCTTTTTGGCCCCTTCTTTGGACCCTTGGTTCCCCATGTGGTCACAGTTAGATGGTGATAAAATTTTTACCAGAGAAACTTTGGCATATTCTGATTAGTTTAGTGATAAGTAATAAAAACATCTACTATTAACTTCCTTCATTTCAAGATGAATTTTTGATAATGAGCTCTCACCGGTCATTTTTGGTGGAGCTTAGGTACTTTTCCACCTGCTAGAAAGGTTCAGTTATCTGTAATAGCCTTAAACACTATTTGCTTGTTATAAGGAAAGACAGTTGGAGATTATTTATGGTACATTGCTTGGAAAAGTGTAATTAATCTTTTGAGAAAATTTAACTACTTACTCTGTACATAATTATGAAAAAAGGTTTGTTTGCATTATTGATTCTAATTTTATTTGAAGATAATTTGTTATCTCACAAAGAAACAGCTTTTCATGATGTATAAGTAAAGCAACAAATGTTAAGATAGTATTCATGGAAATAATCAAAGGCAAATTACATTTGGAATACTCATTGCCTCTTAAATCACGTAGTCTCTGATTCTATAACCATGACTTTCAGTACCACCATATGTGTATTATTTTTGCACAAAAATATTACAAGAAAACAGAAACATTAAAAAGGAAAAATTTTAACTGACACAAGTGTTACCAAAATACAATAATCTGGTCTGTTATTTGTTCAACTGCTAGAAATTACATTTTAAAAATTCAGTGTGAGAAACAACCTCAGCGGAAAATACCAACATACTGGAAAAATCTGCCTATTCTGGTCCCTTTGCTGCCTCCATGTAGATCATCTGTGTTGGTATCTTGCACACTAAGTGTTCCTAACAACTAATGAACTGTAGAAGTAATGTTTGGATCCGTCATAATCTGCAGTGTCAAGGCGATCATTTCATCATCTTCTTCTCTGAACTTCTGGTTCCTTAATACAACAGATTCTGTGCTGAAATGGGACCCAACATGGTTCTGTCGATGTTCAGGAGGCCAGATGAGAGTTCTGTCATCTCCATTCATGAATCTCACTTAGACATCACCATGTTCATCTGAACGCTCTGAAATATTCCCAATGAATCACCTGATGTCATAAATACATGCACTGTATTGACCTGGCTGGTACAGAAAGACATCTGGCACAATCTCATTTTGTATTTCAGAAACTGACACTTCAGTTCATAAATCTTGAGATATTCTCCTCATTTCTAATTTACCATTTGACACCGGAATGAAACTGTGGTGTGATCTTGTACCGTTCAGTCTTTGTCTTGCTGTAGAGCTCTTCTAGTTTGGAAGTAAATTCATGGTTTATAATGTCTTTAGAGCTTATAAAGAAAAACTTCACATTCTTTGTTTTGTGAAGCCCACTCAAACATCTGGAGTGTGGTCAATATTTGATTACTTTCAGTTGTCTGAAGACTGGTCCTTGCAGCTGAGCCTTTTACTGTGCCACCAAAACCATCACAAGCAATGTACCACAAATAATCTCCAGTTGTCTTCCCTTATAACAAGCAAATAGTGTTTAAGGCTATTAAAGGTAATTAAACCTTTCTAGCAGAATCTACAATAATACACATTTTCAGCTTCCTAGCTCATAGCTATTTTCTCAAACATGCTTATAAATTAAGGCCTCCGAAAAAGTGAGCATGGCCCCAAAATTTTAATGGGCCGTAACTCAGAAACGACTCAAGGGATTGAGCTAAAATTTGAGATTGTTTCATTTGGTCATTTTAGAAAAAAATTAAATTTTTTCAGCCAAATCTGAGATGGCCCATAGGATTCATAGGACTGATTTCATATGGACTGACCCCATTGCAATGTTATCCATTGTTCAACATGTCTCCTTTCTCTAAGTGAACTTTATGCAAAGTGAGTCTGATGTGATTGTATGATGTGCTATTGTACCAGAAGTGTTACTACTGTAAGAAGCGCATGAAGAAGACTTTGGGCTGCTGCGTGCAGTGCTCTCACGGCCGCTGTCCCACGGCGTACCATCCTACCTGTGCTCAGGCTGCGGGTGTCCTCATGCAGCCTGACCACTGGCCCTTTGTTGTTCATGTCACCTGCTGTCGACACAAGGGTCCCACACAGATTGAGGTATGGCATAAGTTGGGTTCATGTGATATTAGTATTAGGGTTACCTTTGGAATACAGTAACTATCAATGGGGCTAAATTACCACATATAAACATTTGTTTAGTTTTCACACTGTATGTTGTCCATGTGATGGGGGTCAAATTTAAATGCCTCTCCAGATTTCCATAACATGTAAGAAGGCAGATATAATATTCATAGACTGAGCCTACTACATGTTGTGACTGGCAACAACTACAGTAACTAGATCGACCGATGTCGGTTCTCTTTCATAACATTCGTTTCCACGTTTCCCTATTGGCATTTGAACACCTCGTCTCGCTTCACTAACCCTAGCTATCACAACTTCTGTGTCTCTGACTGCTAGTGTAACTGTCCACATGTAAGAGCTAACACCTCTGCAACTGAGTGTTTGCTGTTTGGCCTCCTGCCATCATATAGGATGCTAACTAGTTTTATGTTGTGTGCTCTAATGCTAGTTACACCAAGCTTACTTTGCTTTCTACTCCTGCGGTGAGCGACAGTGGCTACAGCTGCAAAATCTCGCCCACCAGCGAGATGGACATAGATAATGCCCAGCTCTGTACTTGCAGGAACAAGATCTTGAGTAAAATCATGCACCATAGTCTGCCTGGCGTGTTTTCGACTGGAACGTGCCCAAGCTGCAGTGGAGAATCTTGGCTAGTGCTCTCACTGCTGTCGGTTCATGGCTGAAGTCTTCTGCAGACTTGCCTGCCAAGCTAGCTAATCGGAGAGGCACTGTGCTTTGAGCAAACCCGCTGCTGCTCAGACTTACACAGCCCTGCTTACGACTCTGGCCAAGGATGACACAGCCACTGTTGTGGCTACCGCTAGTGTTCAAAGTTTTATTTTATTACTATTATTTTTAACATATGTGGCTTACTTGTTTTTTTTTTTTGTCACTCTGTTTTTATTTATCAGTTTTTCTTAAAAAGAAAATACAAAAGAAAAGGGAACAACAAAACAAAGCCTGGGTAACTTAGACTTAGACTTAATCCACAAGGGAAATTACTTGGACACAGTAGCTCACATATCACATTATATTTCAACAAACAGTAAAACATATAAAAAAATTTAATAAACTTCTAAATAAGTAGCAATAAAAAATAGCAAGAGTTTGATATCAACGAGACATAAGTTTATATAAATGTATGTACAAGTAAGTAAAAAACAAATATAGTAATATAAATACAGTATATCACAGTTATATATAAGAGGCCTTAAAGAAAACACTGCAAAGATGATGTGATGATTGATAGAAACATAGGCTTATTTTAGCTTTACGAATCGCTTTGTTAATCTGCCCAGTGTCCTTTTTACTGATGCTGATGTTGGATTCCTCTGAAACATTTTCCTCTGTGTTCCTAAAGCGTAACAAAGCAGCCATGCATGAGCTTACAGTGGGACAGAGGGTGATCTGCAAGCACAAAAATGGACGCTACTACCAGTGTGACGTGGTGCAGTTGTCCACGGAAACCTTTTATGAAGTCAACTTTGATGATGGCTCCTTCAGCGACAATCTGTTCCCAGAAGATATTGTGGTATGCATAATTATGTTTATATTTACACTGTATTTATAGGACACTACATTATTTGTGTTGTTACTGGCCTTTAAATATGCTCTTTAGGACCTTTGGCATAACCATATATAAAAACATTGTTATTCCAGTTTGGGTGCTCCCCATTCTGGAATCTAGTGTAGGGTAGTAGCAACCGACAGAATTATCATGGGGTAGTAACAAACATGCCCTGACATTTTAATGTGCATGCAGTTGTAATGAACACAGTTTGACACCAGAATTGCTTTGAACGAGTCTGCCAGTGGTTTCAGCTTTGATCTTATAGTGTGAGGACATATAGGTTCATTTGCTGATTTTTATTTTTTATTTAATCCATCTCTTAATTATAATTTTTATTATTACTAGAATTTCTATGCACTTAATATCTTTTCTATAGCAAAGGTTTAATTAAGGCTTATCCATATATTATTTATTTAGCCATTATATTTTGAACATGTCTCAGAAATGGTCAGCAGTAATAACCAGTATGCAGCGCATATAACGGTAGTAATAATAATAAGAAACTACACTATTTGAATAGTCCCAGACAACCACCCGACTCCTGCTGCAGGTTTTGATATGAGCAAGGTGGGAAGCTGCCCCAGATGGCGTTTCCTCATGTGTGTGAAATACTATAATACTATATTTATTTATTTATTTGATAGGGACAGTGCATATTAATGATCATCTGTAATTACAGTGTAAATATGATAGATTATAGCAAAAAAAAGATCATTTCCTTCTGTTGTCCCTGGGCAGGTGACACAGTCAACAATACAGAATGCAAAACTGTTTCACAGAGACAAGACACAGTAGAGTAAAAGGCCAGATTCAAAGTGTTGACAGACTTGGTTATACTTCATCCACAGTGTAAGGTGCAGTTTGAATATAGATGGAGATGGACTTTCTCTTATAGTCGGTGGGAGACTGTTTAAATAATTAGTCCCTTTGACAGACAGCACAGTCTTTCCAATTGTGCTGCGTCTGTGTACTACCTCACAGTCCACTCGAACTATGGCCCTGGTGCCCATCCCATTCACAGTCTTTAGTTTAATAAATTCCATCAATGGAGGAGGAGTGAGTCCATGCAAAGCTTTGAATATAACATTATTATATTTTAAATTTTAAATGAACACAGTTTTCAAAACTAAATAAACTATACTGCTATACCAAAACAAATGTAGTGGTGATCTGAGTAAGATTTTTATTGCCTTTTTGAAAAGAGATTCTATGGGTTTGAGTGTTGTGCCGGCATCAAGTGACCAGGAAGTGATACTGTACTCACACATAGTGTGTAACACAATGCAACATAATGAGCTGTCTCATACTTCAGCAGCCTCAGCATGGGTGCTGGGGGATCACTATAGGAAGTTAATGATCTGTTTCTCCACAAATGAATTATGAAGAAATGTTATTCAATAAAATGTATGAACATCATCATTCTTATTTATAATAATACATAGATTAATACAGGAAAAGATACCAGGAAAAAGTAGGTATCATCCAAGCAATGGTACCTAGAAAAAAAACCTGAATGGTACCCCCCAGCGAGTAGTGTCTGTAACTGTTTTGCTATCTTATCCTGACACTATATTTGTCACTGTGTCAAGCCTCATTGTTGACAGACATACAGATAGAAATCACTTGAAATGAACTGTCTTTGACAGGGGAGAGACTGCGTGCAACTCGGACCACCTCCTCAAGGAGAGGAGGTGCAAGTGCGCTGGACTGATGGCCTGGTGTATGGGGCCAAGTTTGTAGCAGCTCATGTCATCCAAATGTACCTGGTAAAAGCCTATTCCTACTCCTACCTGAATTAACCTATTCCAATATATACAATTCCTGTTTCCCTATTCTAACTTTCTCATCACCTTATTTTAAAAATATGGGCAATTTAGAAAGTTGTGGGCTTACGTGAAGTTTCAATGCCTAACCCTCTTACATTGCAGGTGGAGTTTGAAGATGGCTCACAGCTCACAGCCAAAAGAGATGATGTGTACACTTTGGATGAGGAGCTGCCAAAAAGAGTCAAATCCAGACTGGTGAGTGGTGAACAGTCACATATCAGGCCACCATGATGAAAGTAACAGTACCAGTTACTGTTTAATGCTTATATTGGTCCAAACGAGACATGTCATGAAAATTTACTTTTTGAGATAACCGTGTGTGTGTGTGTGTATGTATATATATATATATGTATATATATATATATATTAATATATATATTAATTTAAAAAAAATGTGTTTCTCACCTTCCACGGTGGTAGGTCTCTCTCACCCTCATTCAGCTCGGGTCCTCTACCAGAGGCCTGGGAGCTTGAGAGTTCTGCGCAGTATCTTTGCTGTTCCCAGTACTGCACTTTTCTGGACTGAGATGTCCATTGTTTTTCCCGGTATCTGTTGTAGCCACTCTTCCAGTTTGGGGGTTACAGCCCCGAGTGCTCCGATCACCACAGGCACCACTGATGCCTTTACTTTCCAGGCTCTCTCCAGCTCTTCCTTGAGCCCCTGGTATTTCTCTAGCTTCTCGTGTTCCTTTTTCCTGATATTACCATCGCTTGGTATTGCGATGTCAACCACCACGGCTCTGCTCTGTTTCTTATCCACCACCACTATGTCTGGTTGGTTCGCCATCACCATTCTGTCAGTCTGTATCTGGAAGTCCCACAGGATCTTGGCTCGGTCATTCTCCACAACCTTTGGAGGTGTTTCCCACCTTGATCCTGCAGATGTTTCTGTACACTATGCCTGCAACTTGGTTATGTCGCTCCATGTATGCTTTCCCTGCCAGCATCTTACACCCTGCAGTTATGTGCTGGACTGTCTCAGGAGCCTCTTTGCACAGTCTACACCGTGGGTCTTGTCTGGTGTGGTAGATCTGGGCCTCTATTGCTCGAGTGCCCAGGGCCTGCTCCTGAGCAGCCAGGATCAGTGCCTCTGTGCTGTCCTTCAGACCAGCCCTCTCAAGCCATTGGTAGGATTTCTTGATATCAGCCACTTCAGTTATGCTCCGGTGGTACGCCCCATGTAGGGGTTTGTCCTGCCATGATGGTCCCTCCAGCACCTCTTCCTCTGGACCCCACTGTCTGAGACATTCTCTGAGCACCTCATCTGCCGGGGCCTTGTCCTTGATGTACTCAAGGAGCTTGGATGTTTCATCCTGGACAGTGGTTCCCACACTCACTAGTCCTCGGCCCCCTTCCTTCCGGCCTGCGTACAGTCTCAGGGTGCTGGATTTGGGATGGAACCCTCCATGCATGGTCAGGAGCTTTCGTGTCTTAACATCTGTGGTCTGTATCTCCTCCTTTGGCCAGCTTACAATCCCTGCAGGGTATCTGATCACTGGCAGGGCGTAGCTGTTGATTGCCTGCACCTTGTTCTTGCCATTGAGCTGGCTTCTAAGGACTTGCCTCACTCTTTGCAGGTATTTGGCCATAGCCGCTTTCCTTGTTGCCTCTTCGAGGTTGCCATTTGCTTGTGGGATACCAAGGTACTTGTAACTGTCCTCAACGTCTGCTATTGTTCCCTCTGGGAGTGACACCCCCTCTGTGTGGGGACTACCTTCCCTCTCTTTGTCACCATCCTGCTACATTTCTCAAGCCCGAATGACATCCCAATGTCTGTACTGTAGATCCTTGTGGTGTGGATGAGTGAGTCGATGTCTCGCTCACTCTTAGCGTACAGCTTGATGTCATCCATGTAGAGGAGGTGACTGATGGTGGCCCCGTTTCTGAGTCGGTATCCATAGCCAGTGCGGTCGATTATTTGGCTGAGAGGGTTCAGGCCTATGCAGAACAGTAGTGGGGACAGTGAGTCTCCTTGGTATATGCCACATTTGATGGACACATGTGCAAGTGGCTTCCCCTTGGCTTCAAGGGTGGTTTTCCACAACCACATCGAGTTCGCAATGAACGCCCTTAGAGTCCTGGAGTGCAGGAGTTGGTGTTTGGCTCCCCTGGTGTTTTTGCCGATACCCTTCTGTGCTGCAATGATGCCTGACATGAGCTTCCATGTTGTGGAGAGACAGGTTATTGGCCGATAATTTTTGAGTAATGAGATTTTTTATTAAGAAAGGTCATGGTAACAGAGGGAAAAGTAACGGAGGGAAAATTGTGCAAGCAAGTAGAAGGTGCATGATTTTGTATAATTTGTCAGCTTTTTTCTTCCGAAAACTTTAATATTACTTCAAAACAAAAGGGAATTATTTTTATAAAATGTCAGTCCTTCCAAGCAAATTTTAAATACTTTTTTCTTTTGAAAAATCATGTACCTTCATCAACAGTTCAAAGATCGAATAACACAAGATATGATGAAATACATCCATTTAACTTTTCCTTAAGAACCAGTATTTATATATATATGATATATGCAAAAAGTATTAATCAAGAGTGATTATAAAGTTCATTCAAGTTCCAGTTCGCATGTCTCCATACTTGGAAACTAGACTAATCTTAAAGTCACAGTCTGTAATAGACCAGTCCTTGTTGACGACGACGGAGCGGGTGCACATGGTTAGCATGGCTAGGAGATGACTAGTTCCAACAATGCTAGTCATGTCCATTCAAACACTGTAATTAAGTAGGTCTTTATTTATATAGCGCTTTTCACAGACATTTTTTTGTCACAAAGATGCTTTACGGAGCATTACATTCAGCATTATCAATTCACTCTATACCTGGTGATGGTAAGTTACTGTTGTAGCCACAGCTGCCCTGGGGCAGACTGACAGAAGCGCAGCTGCCATGCCAATTGGCGCCAACTTTCCCACGGACCACCACCATCACTCACACACACTGTGGGTGAAGTGTCTAGCCACTAGCACCAGTGCTAATTTCCACCTGTCAGGTTCATTGATTGATTGTATTTAACTGACCTTGACTATCAACTGTTCCGGAGACCTGGAGTATGTTTTGGGTTGATGGGGGAAACCGGAGCACCTGGATTAAACCCATCCAGACACAGGGAGAAACATGATCACACAGAAAACAAACTGCAAACTTGAAACATTGATTTATTCATGATATTAAACTATACTCGCCATTCATTTCAAAGACTTCACTCATATGTTTTGTAATATCTGAGTTTATTCTCAAAATATTGTATATTTTTACAGATAATGCTAAAAAAGCGACCACCTTAACCTAATATAATACCATAATTATGAAAACAATACACTATGTATGGAATAATTCAGGGAGAATGCAGTAGAAAGTGCTTACTATATGAACTGTTTTATTAATTATCATATTTTTTCCCTCCGTTACTGGCAAAGGTAACGGAGGGAAAAAATATGATAATTAATACAAAAATATGTAGAAACAGAATTCATTAGATTGCTGCAGGAAATGCTTAGTAGTATCAATATCCTTGCTTTTAGAAAGTTTCATGATGAAATATAAAGTTTAACACATGTAAAACTTAAAAACATAATTTTTCGGTAACGGAGGGAAAAGTAACAGAGGGAAAATTACAATTTTTTTAGACTTGTAAAACAGGTTTTACTAGATACTAACACCTAATAGTTTAAATTTTCAAAAGTATACTACCTAGAGATGTAGATTAGTCAAAGATGAAGCTTGAAAGTCAACCTGAAGAGGATTTGCAGGTCTTTGAAATTTGGGAAGTAGTTCTTGTTCAAGGCCTAAAAATTGTACCTGTGACATGGTCTGTTTAAAACGTATGTAACTTTAGAACCAAAAATGGTATAAAAAAAAGGTCAACAGTTTCATAAACTAGAGTACATATGCTATCTGTTGAACACATTTTTATATCAGATGCATTAACTTGAATTTTTATATACACACACACACATACACACACACGCACATACATACATACACACACACACACACACATATACATACATACATACACACACACATATACATACATACATACACACACACACACACACACACATATACATACATACATACACACACACACACACACATATACATACATACATACATACAAGTAAATATATGTGTCTTTCTCTGTGTTGTGCTCTTTCACACGACACAGAACTGCCCCAGGTGCATGTTGTACTGATGGAAAATACACAAATATAACCAAAGATTCATTGCATATTCATCATATTTTGATGGGGATATGCGCCTATGCTCGCGTAGAGCATCAAAATACAGGATGGATCCTATGTTCTGAAATCTCCGCGCGCAAGACGTGCTGCTCCATATGCGCACCGCTCTTATCCACTTTCCATGTATTCTAAAAGTTATGTGTCCAAAAGTTGCAGTTTTTATGCTTGCGTAGGGTGAAATACACACATGCAGTGGAGCCAGGTCCATAGTCTCTGAAAAGTTAAAACACAAACTGTCTCCAATGTGACACGCACAGAACAGACTCACTGTCAGCCACGACATCCTCTGTCGCAGAAAAAAAAAAATATTCCACTGAAAAATCATATATTCCACTGAGTCTTGTTCTTTAGTCCAATAGAAGCTGAACTGCATCAGCAGCACAAGTAGTGAGCTGTTTTTATCAACACTAACAGTTCATGCAAATTAGCCATGTGGTTTTAAGTTTTGTTTCTGTAAAACGTAAAGAAATGTGCACCTGAAGCCAAAATGCTGCCAAATTGCAGAAGTACTAGTATTTTTGAGGGGAACCAATTCAGCCAGACTTGCTATTTTCTCTGTCTCCCTCATGAGCATCATGTGACATCGGAACGAAACTAATCGTCATCTCCCCAAGAAACATTGTAGACACTATTAGATTTAAATTGTGATCACATTAAATTGAAAATACAACCACACATAAATTTGTGCTGAGCAAACAAATTTAGATATCAGTAAATTATAATATTATATTAGATCCTTTTGCGCTGCAGATTTTTTTTTAATGACGGTAATGAAACTGATACTGTTGCTATTTTTTGATACCGCAGTAGACCGTACTACCATATTACCGCCCAACCCTATATACACACACATATATGTATGTATGTGTGTATGTATATATGTATATATATATGTATATATATGTATGTCTGTATATATATGTGTGTATATATATATATATG